GAGGATGCCGTGGGGCAGGCCGACTGCGGGTTCCCGGCTCCGACCCGCAGGGGCGGCGACAGCAAACGCCCCCCGCGGAGCCGGGCCGGGGAACTTTCCCTGCCTGGAGCTGGGCCAAGGAGACCCGCAGCCGGGCGGAGGGGCGGAGGGGCCGTGGTCCGGCCGGAGGGAGCTCGGGGGACGCGCAGTTCGGGGAACAGGGGAGGAAGGCGGAGCGCGGGGAGAGCAGGGGCGACCAGACAAGTCCGGGGATGTCCTGGGCGCCAGGGAGGAATCGCGCTGGAGGCGGCTGCTAGTCAGCCATGGGGAGGATTCGGGGATGGAGAATTGGGGGGCCCGCCGGAGAGCTGGTGGTGAATGGTAGCCCTGGGAGACGCGAGTACTGCAAGTTACGGGGACAACAGCGAGTTTGGGCGGTTTGCAGGGTGCCTGCGACCCATCCCTTTCCCTCAAATTCCCTACCCCGCCGGGGTCCCCATTTTCACTGCACTCCACGCCAAGCCGGGGAGAGAAGGTGTGGGTGCAGCCATCCCTAAGGACTCTCATTCACACCCAGCTGGACATGGGAGAAGGGAATGACCGAGCCTCTCTGCTCCTTCCATCTTAGCCCCGAGTTTCCTTTCCACACTCCCTGCGCTTCAGATTTAGGAAGTGGGGGACGGTTGTCATGGAAACGTTTCCACCACCCCCCTTGGCTACGGCTACTGGGGTGCCTCAGGAGGTTTAGGGGCCGACCGGCCTGGTCCCACACCTACCTGTGGGGATCAGTGCCGCGGCGGAGAGAAGCAACAGCAGAAGCCGAAGCCGGAGCCCGGGAGGCGCCGCCGCCACCGCCGCCGCCGCCGCCGCCGCCGCACACTGGGATCCGCTCGGCAGCACAGCACTCGCCATGTCGGGCACCTGCCTCAGACTGGCGGCGGCGGCTTCCTCCGGAGCCAGAGCGGACAACTAATGAGATGCTAATGACATGCGCTGGAGGCGGAGTCCGGACCGACCAATCACAGCTCTGAGAGCCCAATCGGGCTCTCCGAGGACTCCCCCCTCCCCCACCCCGCCCCCTGGCGCTG